TATGGACCAACATAGGTCCCATAAGTGACCTAGACATTCGATAAAGAGAGAATAGGAAGAGTCATTATAAGATATTTCTGAGGCTGAAATTACATTTGAAGATTGTGAAGGAATATATTCTTCACACTAAAATTCATGTCACAATTATCAGATTGGGAAGGAGCACAGGTCTCCCTCTATATGAAGCAGCATCCTCTAGAGACCTTATGGATTATCAAATTGATATGAATCTGTGCAAGAATTATGTAGCAGCTGGGGCAGCCTGTAGACCAGTGGTGACTTTAACATCAGGGGCTTAGGGACTCATGAAATGGCTAGCTCTTCTGGAAAAAGATATAAAGAAAGGAGTTAAGAGACCATCACTTTTGGAGTCTCTACCCAAACTCAGATGGGCAACATCATTTATTTCCTTTGCCTCTCTGTATTTGGTATGTACTCTTGCCAGAAATATGGCTATTTCAATGGAAGCACGCAGAGAATTATGGTTAAAATCATGGAACGCTGACCTTTTTGTAAGAATAGTTTGGTATCCCTTTACATGGACAACTCCTTTTTGGAAAGCTGCTAGATAATGCCATTAAACGAGCTGCAGAAGGAAAAAAAGGAAAAGTTCTGTAAGGAAAAAGCTCTAATTTCTGGCAGGATTGTAGATCCTTTCATGAAAGAATATCCATTTGAATCTAGGTCATACCAACCAGGAAGAACATTTTCTAGAACATAATCCTGGAAGGGAGGACAATCCTCCAGAGGAAACAGAAACAAGCCTTCCACTTTTGCCAGAACATCTAATAGCCCTTTCTGAAGTCCCTTTGAGTCCCCAGATTTCAGAGGTAGGAGCTCGTCTCCATCACTTCTGGAGAATTTGTAACCATGCAAACTTAGATCCATGGGTCATTTCTATTCTAAAAAAAAGGGATATTGTCTGGGGTTTCAACAGTTCCCTCATCAAATTTTTTTTCACAAGATCAAAGATACCCACGATCTCTCTCAAAAGAGAAATCTTGTAAGAGATTTTTCAAGCCATGTTCAGCACAAATCGATTTCAAACTTCCCAATTAGAGAAATATTTAAAGGGATGTACTAAATCCTGTTTCTGGTTCCAAAGCCTTCAGGAGATTAGCATCCAATATGAGATCTACACAGGCTGAATCTTTCTTTCAAAATCAGAAAAATCAGGATGGAATCTCTATCCTCAATTATTTCAGTGGTGCGTCCAGGAGATCTAAAGGACGCCTATTTTCATATTCTAATAGCAGACCACCATCAAATGTTTTTGAGATTTGCAATTCTGGGAGATCACTTCCATTTCAGATCAATGCCATCTGAACTAAGTCCCTTTTCAAAGGTCCTTCTAGCCCTAATAGCAGATCTAAGACAACAAGGTCTAAATATACAGTATATCATTATTTGGAAGACGTTCTTTTGGTAAGAGATTCAAAAGAAAGTTTGTTTTAAATGTTGTTTTATTGTTTCATCTTGCAAAGTTTAGAAGAGGCACATTATGTTACAACATATTAATGTAAATTACATATGTGTAAATGAGCAATATAGCATCTTACAGCATAGTAAAATAGTACATGTTTTATATGTTGGTACAGCATCATATCAACATTTGTAATCAAAATGCTCAAGTATGAATAATTGGTGACAGGCTTTGAGCAGTAGCAGTGAGAACAGCAACAGACTGCATAAAAAAAAAGAAAAAAAAAGCCATTTCTGCACAGAATTATGTAGAATTGATAATCGACACAGCGTTGTTTAGACATATGCAGTCCTGGATGACAAAGATGTGCCCTGATATTGAATTAAGAGCAATGTATAGAACAGGTAGCGTAGGAACACAAAAATCTTTTCAAATGTTTTTTTTTTTAATAATAATAATAATAATAATAAAAATAACAATTGTACATTTTTGTCAAAGTTTTTAACAGTCAATGATATTTAAACATTATGGTATTTGAAAAGTGACATAATAGCAAGGATCTTTGTTATGGTTACCTTATCAATACTATGAGTAACAACACAAAGATCATAATGAAAGAAAAACAAAGAAAATAAAAATTGGGGGAAAATAAATAAATTGCGCCTCTATAGTATTATATGAATAATTAAAATATGGAAAGGAAGAAAAAAAGTAAAATGTTTACGTCATTTTTTCTATATAAATACTGTATATTAAACGACAAATATGGTAAATGAGAGCCAAACATAAGTGATAAAACTGTTTTTGATCAGGTGGAAGCATCACCAATGGTACTTGGAGAACAAGCTTGCATCTTTTACTTTCAAATAAAAACAGTAGGACATCTCTGCCAGAGGGAATTGTAACAGATTTCCAATATCTAGGAATGATTGATGAAGCCGAGATTAGGAGGTGGCCTAACATTATTATTTTGTGTTTTGGTAAGTCTTCAGGGAGGCATTTAAGCAAGCATAATCCAGGAGTTAAATCAACAGGGAACTCAGTGATAGATATGATCATTTCTAATATTTTTTGTCAATAGTTGGATAGTTTCAGGCATGACCAAAAAATGTGGTATAAAGTACCTGTCTGTACCTCTCAAAATTAAATTAGATGTGGAGAGGTGTAGTCGAAACATTCTCCCCTTAAATGGGGAGAAATACCAGCAATAAATTAATTTTACATGAGATTTTAAGTGGGAAATGCAATGTGTAATGCCTATCAATGCAAGTAATGATTCATGCCATTCCTCCACTGTGAATACCTCACCCAGATCACTCTCCCACTTTGTCATGTATGACAATTTCATGCCTACGTCTCCTGCAAAAAAGGCATAGCACATGTAAATGGTTTGTTTCTGACCAGGGTCTGAAATAAAAACCTTTTCTAAATATGACATTTCCAATTTTCTAATATTCAGATCCTGGTCTGAAATCCCAAAATGCTCGCTAAATGTGTAGAGGCATCAAAAACACTTCGCTGGAATATCTTCTGTAGCTGTTCAAATGGTAAAAAATTAGAATATAAGAAAAAATCATTAGTGCAATGAATCGAATGAGATGACCAATATTCTACATCTAATTCAGGCAAAACTAGTTTTAATACTGACAGAGGAGTGGCTCTAGACCAGACAGCAGAATGGTGAATTTTTTGATTTAGTATATTCCAAGCCTTAATAGGGGTCTTGATTGTAAGTAACATGTCCGCCAACCTTGTGCGCTGAGATGGAAGCAACCATAAAATATTTTTAATCGATTGCGGAGAGAGTTTGCTAGCCTCCATCTCAAGCCAAAGGGATGATCATTCTCTTGATTGAATTTCAGCACCATCACTGCATTAGTTGCGTAATAATAATTAATAAAATCCGTCAAACCCCCACCAACCCTGAGCTTTTGAAGTATGGATAATTTAATCCTAGATGGTTTTTTATTCCAGATAGGTTTCAAGAGAGCAGAATGTACCGGTCATGATCTTGTGCAGGTCAGATAGGAGACTTATGCCACGGTTGACTTCAGGTACTTTATTAGTGATTTTAGACATATTATGAAACTTGAGGCAAAAAAGAATTTAGGTAATATGCCACAAAACAGGATACCTGCAAATAATAAAGAATGTCTGTAATTTCCAGGTAGGGTTGTAACAAAGGCAGGCTGGTAACAGTGGAAGGCTGGTAACAGAGAAAGGCTGGTTACAGAGGCAGGCTGGTTAGAAGTATAGGAAAGCGTGGAGCAGGTTATATTTTTAGGAGCAGGTTTGACGGTAAATCTGGAGCAGGTTGGTCTGAAGCAGGTTCAGAGGAGCCAGGATATGAGGTGTTTCTGGTAAATCACCAACTTCACTGTAATGGCCAGTGGTATTCTCGGGTGTGGCCTTTTGTAGGATTTGTAATTGGTCCTAGGCAGGTGAAGACTGAGGTGACTAGTGGCTAGGGAGGCCACTAGTGGTGGAGAGCTGTAACTTCTTTTAAAGGAACATAAATAAATGAAGATAAAACATAGTTGTCAGGATACAATCCTGACAGTACCTTTCAAATAAAAAGATAAAGGTATCAAAAGGGGGGTGGCTCTAAGAAAATATAAAATTTTGGGTAGGAGATTCATTTTCACCGAATTAACCCTACCTAATCATGAAATTTCCAGACTACACCATCTCTCAGGATCGTTCCTAAAGTCTGACCAGACCTTACCCGTGTTATAAGAATGCATCTTGGACAGGTTCTTGCAAAGGTTAATGCACAGATAAGAGATATAAGAGTCCCTCCAATTGAAGTCAAACCGACCTTTCAAAGTGTCTAAATCATACCAAAGTATGTAGAAAGAGAGAGCTTGAGTTTTGGCTGTATTCAATTTATAGAACGAAATTTTGTTGAATTCCTGCAGAATGTACATCAACCGAGTTAGTGAAGTCATTGGATTTTTAAGCAATAACATGATGTCATCTGCAAAAAGGCCTATTTTATGTTCCATACCCCCTACTGCAATACCTTTGATATCTGCGCTGCAGCGTATCATATCAGCCAAGGTCTCCATTACCAGCACAAACAGGAGTGTAGACAATGGGCAATGGGTTTTCAGAAACAAAACCAGTCACAGATACTCTAGCAGTTGGGTGACAGTATAGTGCAAACACAGCCCTGATGAAGGGGTCTGGGATGTTGAAATGTGACAGAACTTCCCTCAGGTAATCCCAATAGATCCTATTGAATGCCTTCTCTGCAAGGAGGTGTGCGAGTAGATTTAAGATGATTAATCAAATTGATGAAACGCCTGGTGCCATCAGGAGCCTGACAGTTTATAATGAAACCAACCTGGTCTTTGTCAGTTAGGGAAGGAAGAAGTCTATTTGCTAACATTTTTGAATAAATCTTTGTGTCATTATTAATTAATGAAATGGGACAAAAATTTGAACAGACATTAGGTGTTTTACCAGGTTTAGGTAACGTGACTATTTGTGCACAAAGCCTCCCTTGACATTCCACCTGTATTCCAATAATGATTGAATAGGTGAGTTAAATGACGGATTAGAATGCCAGAGAAAGACTTATATTACGTCGTAAAACCATCAGGCCTTGTGGTTTTGCCTTGTGGGATCATACTGGGATCGGAAATCAAATTATACCATTTTTTGTAGTATTCCGCAAACATATTGCTTATCTTAACCGGATGAGTTACTTTAACGCCACTCTCATCCAGTAAATGCTCAATTCTAGATTGGGAAGCTCTGTGGGGTAGTTTAGAGGCTAACATTGAAGAAGCTCTATTCCCATTAGCATAAATAACCTGTTTCAATCTCAGAATCATCAAGGCCGTGTGTTCCAACTGGAGAGTATTAATTTTAACCTTGACATCTGAAATCTTTGCAGCAAGGGGCAAGAAAGGGCAAATTTTGTTAGCCTGATGCAAAGCACACAGTTCTTTTTCTAAATCTCTCAGATTTTTAGACTGGATTTTTTTGCAAGTAGAAGGCTTGTTGTATAAAATGTCCGCTAAGAACCGTCTTATGGGCATTCCACAATGAAGTATCATGTAAATATAGAGCCGAATTTTCCCTAAAATAATTATTAATCGCTGATTCAGCCAATGTTTTGTGTTTTTCAATTTGACAATTTTTATCATGGGGTACAGAATAGAAGAGGGGTATCCTCAGGGTCACACCACAGCACAACATTACTCAACATTAGTAACACATTAACACAACGGTGTATTTTGCTCTCATGTTATATTTTAGGGTTACATGTCAGAAACACTGGTCGTGCCGTCCTCCCTGTGTTTCCTCCCTGTTAGGTGTACGATGTTGCACTCCCCGCTTCTCCCCGATATTCCGCCCTTTGTGTTTTGCGTCTCTAATTCTCTAATTGTCCATGATATGTGATCCTACTTTGCTGTAAGGAAAAAGGGAAAAAAATGAAAATAGGTAGAGATTGGATATCTGTTCTGTGTGAGATGGTAGTGGTGATGTTCGCAAGAGATATCCCTCTTTAACTATTTACAGCGTGGGTAAGTTGCAAGTGGTATCTTTTAACTTGAAAGTCGGCTAACCGACGTTTGATAGCTCATGTTTTGTGGTGATGATCCTTTGTGTATTTCCATGAGGTGTTATTGTATCTGCACCCCCTTCCGGTTTTTTTAAATTAATTAATTAATTTATTTATAATTATTATTATTATTATTTTTTTTAAAATAGAGGTTCATATTGCAAGTTTATTTATAATTTACTGCTGAAAGTCCCCTCCCTTGGTGTCGTAGTACCCTTTACTAATCACTAATCATTTGTCTACGTGCCTTCTTGGTTTTGGAACTTAGTTGTTGGAAACATAGTTGTTCCACTTCGATCTGGCCTCAAGCATGTGTTTCCTAGGTTGAATCTGTGTGTTTGCCATGCATTCGTAGTCTAGATTTGTTGATATTTGACAGCCAAGAGTGGTATTTTGGTAGATTTCCATGCCCTTGCTATTAGGAGATTTTCTGCTATAAGGATGTGGAAGTGGAGGTTAGTATCTGGTTCAGAAAGTCTGTCTGAGAATAATAAGCACATTTCAGGTGTGAGTGATATAGTCTGCCCTCTGAGATGTGATATTATGTTTCCCACCATGCTCCAAAAGGGGAGACTGTTATCACCTGACCACCAGGTTTGATACATTGTTCCCCACTCTTTTAGGCATCGCCAGCACATGCTGGATGTGTTTGGGTACATGTGGGTTAGCCGATCTGGTCCCATGTATCACCTGTATTGTAGTTTTCGAACTAGCTCCAGGTGTGATGCACAACTTGTTTTGTCTTTGTGGGCCAAAAAGGCTCTGGTCCAATGTGTTGTGTCAAATTCCTTACCTATGTCAGTTTTCCAGGCTACCATATACAGGTCACACATGTGTTAATAGATTGTATGTGGAAGAGAATATCTAGCATGTGTGTTCCGTTCATAAGCTGTCTTGTTTGTGTGTATCTTTTCTCTAGCCAAGTGCAAAAGTCAAATAAAGGGTTGGCAATGTGCAGGCTATAGTGTGGGGTATTCACTGTCCATTCATCCCTGTATCCCTGTTGCTTCCTTAGTCCATCCCAGACATCTAGCAGTAATCTGGTGGTGTGTAGGATATGTAATGTTGCAGGTCTCCAGTGCCCACCAACTCCCATTACTCCCCTGATGCGGAGATTATTGTGCCGGGCCCGGTCTTTGATGTCCGCTAGCTTGGTGTCATAGCTTTCCATGTGAGACATTAGTTCTTCCACTTTCAAGGCCAAATTAATGTGCGCCTCTGCTTGTTCGGCCATTTTGTCTTCTATGGCTTATGTCCTTGTACCAAGCTTGTGAAGGTCTTTTTGAAGCTGGTGTATAGAATTTTGCAGGATTTGAAGCATTTCCGCAGACATTTCATCGAGCATGTTTTGCATCACCGCTTCTGTGAGCGGGGATTCTGGGCTCGGCGGCCCCTTGGGTCCGTCCATATCCTCATCGGCGCCATCTTGGTCTGCCTCATGTTCCGCGCCAGTTTTGTTCTGTCCTGCCCGCAGGGCAAAAAATTGAGATTTTTTTTGCTTCTCCGTATGCCCTTTAGGTTTGGGTTGGGACATGGTGTCCAGAGTAGTTGTCTCAGGTCTTTTGTTGTGGCAAATGGCTCAGTTTTAGGCCGCACAGTGCAGCCAATGTTTTATTGTCAAGCTCTGTAACTAAATAATCACTAAGTCTCCACTGTCTGTTTGGAAAGGACTCCTCTATACATATTGTTATGGGGGCATGATCGGACCAAGAAATGTCCGAAATTTCAGAGTGCAGAATAAGGGGTAGGATATTCTCACCCACCATGAACCTGTCGGTCCGACAGTCTTTCTCTCCTTCATTTTGTACACGCCAACAGTCGAATAGGCCCTGGGAAAAAAGAAATTTGGAACAAATGTCAGCCGATTTTTCACTGTTATGATTTTTAGCTGCATTGTTTGCATCTCTAACAATATCGTATTCACAGTCTAGAACAAAGTTGGTGTCACCACCCAAAATCAATCTGCCTCTAACCCCATCTGATATTTTACTAACAATAGATTTCAAAAAACGAAATTACCCAGAATTAAGGGAATATAGATTTACCATTTTACCAGAGTGTACTCAATACTATTTACTGAACCTTTTCAAATTAGGTATCTGCCATCTGGATCCAAAGTCAAATCATCTGTGTAGCAAGCTACATTTTTGCTAAATAATATGGAGATGCCTCTAGATTTCCTACAAAATGCAGAGTGATACTGGGTGGGGTAATCTTTCCTCAGAATATTGGGTACATTATCTGTTTTAAAATGAGTCTCCTGAATGAAAAACATCTCTGGCTTGCTGGTTTTACTTCTTTAAATAGAAGTCTTCGTTTGTGCCGAGTGTTCCGAAAAAATTGGTGAAGGGATTTGAACACGCCGCACATCTCAAAACATATTTCAAAATTGAACAATCCTATCCTGAGTAAGTAAGGTCCACCTGACTGATTTTATGTTTGACTCTATACATCACTGAAATATTATACCAAGGTATTACATCAGAATAATAAAATGGTACATTATGGATGACATTATCCTTATTCGGAAGATAAAGGGTACAAAAATTTGGAGAATACCCCCTAATAAGGGAAAAAAATGGAAGAATAATGTTCCCATACAGGGGCAAAATAAAATAAAATAAAAAATAAAGTATATATAAAAAACAAGACCATGAGAGGAGAAGCAAAAAATTCCTCCAACTCAAAAAAATGTACAGGCCTACTTTGGTCGGACAGCAGAAAGCAGAACATAAAATACATTGAGACACTAAAATAATAACATAAAACAACATAACAAGTAACAAAAAAGGGAAAAATAATATTAGAAAATAAAAAATATATATATAAAAAAGGGGTAAAAATAAAAGATAAATTCACAGGATAAAAAAAAAAAAAAAGAATGACAAACAGAAAGTCATAAAAAATTTAATGTATATGGAGAAAAGAAATAAGTCCAGGATCAGGACCCGAAGAAAGGAACCAGGATCTGAAGAACAAATCATTGTAATAAATACCAAAGGACAGGAACTAGCAAATGAGCAGAATGTATGCAGAAATCCTGAACCGATCACCAGGAAACATTATTCTGGAACCTGAGAATGAGAACAGGTAATCAGGAACCAGGAACAAGGAATGGAACTTCTACTCATACTGGAAACCAGGAACAACCAACCGGTTACAAGAATTATGGTTCTTCATATGCATCGTGCTTGCTCCTCTGAAAGCCATGAAAATCTGAACAGATTCTGAACAGATGCTAAAATGAGAAAAAAATAAATAAATAACAAAAATTATTTCTATATAAGAGTATAAGTCCATAACAATATATCATAACAATACATTAGATAAATGCAGCCTGTGGTTAGTAGCATAGGTCACGTGGTGACAGTGGATCTTGGGCATGTGCAAAACCAAAATTATCGCAATAATGTATAAGGCTTAGCGAAACTTTGATGGTATTCATATTATTTTGGTCTAACTACATGAAACATGTATAATAATAATGGAAAGCATAGATGTGAGTCTCCTCAGTGGGGACAGTGATTGTGGAATAATTATTGCCACGCAGAGTAATTCAAGAAAGGCAGTGCCTGACAAAAAAAAACAAATAACAAATGGATGAACATTCAGCCAGGCAGCGGGGGAGTCGCCAATACCACCTAAAGAACATCTTGGGGCAGCAAAGGATTGTCCCCATCTGCATAGTGCTGAGTCCCCTTGGGCTGCCGAGCTCCCACCCGTCCCATCCGAGGCAGCCTCAGTCCCCCCAGCGGAGTTGTCCGTTGCACTGTGGGCACTCAGAGGCAAAGCCAGTCCACTGGGCCCCCCACATCAAAAGCCCAAGGACCAGCTTCTGTGGGATCAGTGTTCATCAGTCCCGGCCACCAGTTCACCTGAAGTTACGCACCCTCCTACCCCACTGGGCTCACAGCATCAGAGACAATTCCCT